TCAATTATTTTTCTAATGCCAAAAGAACTAACACCGAGTGTCCATCGTGCGTCGCCTGGGACTCTTTAATAGTGTTGGTGCCTAGAGCAATGAACTCTACTATGTTTGAAGGTGCCATCAATACCTTAAGGCATCAACTGAATTGGTGCTTAATTCCAGACATCAATAATATTCCATGGCTAGAGATCAATGCCTCAGCATTGACCTAGCATCCTAGAGCATCATTTTTATGCGTTCTATCGAGCATCATTTGATGCTCCAAGTATCAAATGGTCCCTACCATATTGCAGTTGACAATGCCTTAGGAGGACAAACAAGTCTCGTGGCATGGTGAGGGTAGGAAAAGAGAGAGAGAGAGGACACTTTTGGTATTTCAGCTTTCATTTTTAGTGTAATCCCTTTAATTCACAGTGAGGCATATGGGATCTTATGCACGATTTCGAAAGTTAAGGGGCAAGTTAAACCATGCAAAACATTGTAGGGGTGGTTATTAACTTAAAGGGTGGTGTTATTAGAATAATATTTTTATATTATTTTTTATATAATTTTTATATATCGTTAAATGAATGAATGCATTTAATATTATAAATTTTATATGAATTAAAAAATTAATTATTTAAATAACATATCAAATTATATAAAAAAATAATTTAAAAAAATTATTCCAAAGTTATTTGTGTAACTTAAATACAAAGAAATATATTCTTAAAGTCTAAAGAGGCCATATGCTTTGCGTTGATGTCCACGTAGGAATCGACGTGTGAAAACGCTTAAAGGACAGGAGGCCACTCCGCCTTTGTCTTTCAACTTTCAGAGTAGGGCCTACGCGGGAAGTATATTACACGCACTAAACCAACAACATATGATGGTTCGCTTCCATTCCACAACTTCGTAGCTAAACATTGTGTAGGTAATGAGCTGTTAAAAAATATTTATTTAATTTAAAATTTTAAAATAAAATTTTAATAAAAATGGCTAATACCATGAGATGGAGAGAGTAACGAAGGTTAAAGAGATAATAAAAAGTTAAATTAGTAGTAACAGTAAGCTAACTTTTTTTCAAAAAGAAAAGTAGCAAGCAACTTAATTAGTTGGTAATTCAAATTAAAGTTATAAATAAATTAATGCGTGATGAAGCGAAATTGGACTTTCTGGAGCCTCTACCATGAGTGGGTTGGTCCCTATTAAAATTTCTCGTCCTGCTCACCATTTGTCGTCTCTTGTCACGAAGGTTACCCTCCTGGCTCCTTTATTTTTTGCTATCCCCCACTGCATTCTTTAAATTAGCGTTTCTCAGTTAAGTTTCAGAAAATTTGGGGAGAAAAATAATTAAAATTTATATTATTTTAATCAAATATTATATTAACGATCTGTTGATCCGAATAGAAAGAATTTGATTTT